CTAAAAGTCCTTACTCTTTATTCTATTTTTACTAGTACTCCTAGTGCACACGATGCGTGCATGAACTAGTTCACCTGTGCATAAAACAATATTCAAGCATAGCAGTGAATGTTGATAAAATTTAAAAGGGTTTAAAATATTGAAGAGATTAGAAATATAATAAAATGTAACAATTAAAGGAGATGAAAGGTTTAAAATATCTGTACATCTTATTCACTTTCTTTCCATATATTTTTGGTAATTTCTTATCGTATCATGTCGCAAAATATTCTCTGATGAACCTTCTCGTAAAATAATGAAGAGTATTATAATGTAGGTTGTGCTTCTTCACGAAATCTGGTGTTCTGGTGCGCGTGATGCGTGCATAAAATTACAACCACAATTGTGTAAAACCTGATAATATCGCTAATTGTAGACATAAATGTCTAGTTCTCACAGATTAAGTACACGGACTTTGGAAATTGTATAAGCAATGCGCTTCCACATCCAAATAATTTTTTTAACTTTGGAAGAAGTAAGATTTGAGTTGAAGTTTGAAATAAGTAAGTTTGAGGGAAAAGCAAACAAAAGAATGAGCACTTAACAGTAAAAAATGGGGTTTTCCAAGAAAGAGTCCTGGAAGCAAGCATAAAATTATTCTTCATCACTGATTACCGTGAATTATTGAAGTAATTACGGAAACAAATTGAAAGTGATAGATAAACCTGTTGAACTTGAGAAGCTATGGAGATGGAAAAGGACAATGGAGGTGTAGTGAAACAGGACAGTATCTGTTCCATGATTCCGCTATCCTATCTGATTTTGCGTTGATGATTTTAGAGATAGTGTTGAGATTTGAATTTGTGGGGAGTTAAGGGTTAGTTTCCTTCTAAACGTGGGGAGATCAATATTTTTATGCTTTTCCAAGTTAACCCCTCTCAAAGTTTTAAATTACTGCATGGTGTGAAGTCGCTAGTTGGGGTTTTCTAAAGTCGTGACTTATAGGGGTGAACACCAAAAATTGGTACCAAATGAATGGCTTTCTTTAAATGTAGTAATAGAATAGATATGTTATGCCTTTTTTTGTCTACTAGGTTATGCTTTATGCTTTCAGTTTCTTAAAATGTTCGATCTAGAGCTTGGATCTGGTTGAGTGGTCCTTGTGGATAATATATATGTTACATATAATTTCGAAGTTTTGCTTTACTTTCAGAAAATATCCAACAGATACCAACAAACACACAAGGCTATGTTGAGGGCATTGAAGCTCTTCCTATTCGGTGTTCTTCTTCAAGGTAATCATAGTTAAAGCTGGATACTACTGTAGTTTTTAGGTCCTAAACTCCTGTACTTCGCAAGGTCCTTGGCTAGTGTTTGTGAACTGTATATTTCTTACATTTGACACACTTTTGTCCATCTCTAGGTAAATGTTTTCATTATTCACAACCACTAATCTACACCTGATATTTGCACACTACGTATAAGTTTTCGTTTTTTTGCAATACAACCAAGTTTTTCCTTGTACAACAAGTGGGTGAGCAGACTGACTCAAAGTGTTGTTTAGTGCAACTCAAAAAAGGAAAAAGAAAATTTGATGCTACTTCAACAATCAAAGTCTTAAGTTAAGGTGTGACCCCTAGAAACCCTTATTTTTGATTGAGGAGTGACTCTGATAACTTCACGAAGATTAAGGGTTATAATTTTATAACATACCCCTTCCCCCTGCAGGTTGAGCACACTTATCATAGGCTAAAAACTGGGTAATTTTTCGTAGTGATATTCTTTTAAACCCGCATTAAATGTGTGTCGTATGGGATGTAACATGGATTGAAGTGATGCTATCTTAAAATCCCTTCTATTACTCCAACACTCTAAAGTTGTAATGAGGGTTGAAGGTTACTGTTTTACGCTAACAAGGTCTACTTCACTTATTATGGCTTATTTTGCTCATACTCTATACTCTATTGTTGAGGTTACATATGCAAGGGTGGAGACAGGATTTTAAGTACTTTGTGTGTGCGTGCACTTGCACGTGTGTGCTCACGAGCATATGCATGTGTCTATGTTGGTGCATGTGAGTGGACAAGGAAATGTACACTTGCACTATCTTTTCCCATTTGGAAAAAAACATCAACAGAAGGGACTGTAGATATGCTTTAGGTTACTTCTTTTTTCTCGTGAAAGTCGGAAACGCAAAAACCAGTAAATCAAGTCTAGCACGCTCATTCATAACTTATAGTTTACGTGTAACTGTCCTAGTAAAAAAAAGTTTACAAATTCAAGGGAAGCATAGGCTAACTAAATAATGTAAATGCAAAATTTCGTATGACTTGATATGAGTCAGATGGGTTAGTATGGAACAGTTTTTGAGGGAAATTGCAGATAGGTTTCCTGCAAAGAAAGTGATAGAAAAAAGTCATCCAGTAAGTCATTCTTCCTTTTGTGTCCATTTTGGTACTTCCACTACATCAAGAATCTGACATGATGGTACAATGTGGGGGAGGGGATTTTCTTGAAGGTGTTGCCAAAGATGTTTCTTTAACCATGCATTTTGCATTATAGTCTGAGTGTTTTCTATAGCAGCTGATATTCGATGGAATAGAGGGAGGGAGCGGGATTTTTTGTAGACCATTAGCTGAATATGACATTTTGACACCCATTTATTATTTTAAGGCTACATTTGGTTGGGGGAATTAGGAAGTAGAAGTTATGAGTTTTTAGAAATAAACTGGAACGAGATATAGAAAATTTGTTGGTCGTTTGAAATAAAATAGAATTAGGAGTAGTTGAATTTGGACAAAGAGTTTGGGAGTAGTGTCCAAACTTTCACTGCATTCTAACTCGTTGGTATTCTAGGCTGTTGGCGAGAGACAGCAAGAGTAAGCATAACCCACTTGTCAAACACATCTGAATTGTTCTTGGAGATTTTTATTTGTATCCTATGTCTGAAAAATTTTCTACTGTTGTTGGAGTTGCTAGTATTCCATGGTAATCTGCATTTTGGAAGGGTTTGTTTCCTATCGTGGTTGATGAGAATATGTTCTTTTTCTGTTCAATGTGATGTATTAGTTTACTATGTCAACAATATCAATGTTTTCTTTTTCTTAATTTCAGGTGGCTACTTTCATGGAGTAAATTCATTAACATTTGGTGTTGATGTTGAAAAAATACGTTGGCTTGGTATTCTGCAGGTAGTATAATGCAGAAGGGTTTTATTTATTCATAGTTTTATTCTCCATTTGCATGCTTTCGTCCATTTGAGCCTATTGTTTAGAAAATAACTTGTATTGTTTTATATCAGTTGGTAATTATGACTTTGAACTAATACAACTACTTTTTTTATCTGGAATTTATCTTTGACCCCACCTGCCCATAAGGCCCCACCTACCCAACCTCACAGCTCATTCAGAAATGGAGTACTTCTTCATAACTATGTTGCATGCACACTTCTATCATGTAGCCTTACCCGTACCCATACCTGTACGGCTGTACCCGACACTCCTTGGACACTTCTTGAATATATGCATACATTACTCGGACATCTAGTCAATTATATAATACATGTTTTAATTTAAACCACTCAATTACATAGTACACAATCAATAAAATATAAAAATGTTATATAAATTTTAATTCTTGTAAAACATGTGAATGAGAAAACAATATTAATCTCATGTAAATTGTTAAATTTTAATGTATATATAGCTGTGTTCTCGTACCTTGCTTTTTATAAAACTTTTGTGTCCCGTATTCATATCTGCGCGCCCTTAACTGTATCAGTACCTGTACCCATGCAATGTAGCTTCATAATAGTACATTTGCTTAGAAAAGGATGAACTTTCTGTAAGATGGAATGGAGCTTCAATATCAACATTTCAATTAGCAACCCAATTTGCAAGCTTATTGTTTTATCTAAATGTATACGTGGCTAAGAGTTCTTTCAGAGGATGAGGCACAAAGTGCTGAAGCTCCTAATATGTCTGGTAGCTTCTTTTCTCATTCAAAAGGCTTGAAAGTCATAATGTTTCTAATTTACTTTTGTTTGACATTAAATCAGACCATTAAGTAGAGCCTCCAACTTTGCCTTGATTGGAGAAAGTTTCAAGGACAAATCGAGCACAACTTTATTTCCTTTTAAGAATAGCCCTTCTAGCAAAACCTGAATATTACATGCTCCAGTAATATTCACTTTAAAAATTTCCATCTTGAGGCTTAATTCCACTGGCCCTAAATACATAAAGTTACCTTTTTCAATAGTGCATATTTCTTTTTTCCATGTCCTCTCCATTACGATCATCATAGACACTCCCGTTCATGCACAAAAAGTGCAGTGTTTTGATCATGTCAGGGGCTAATATGTCTGTGTATTGTAAAGATTTGTGTTTGTGAAATTGTTTTTTTCTATTGGCATCCGTCACTTTGCTTATTTTGCATGGTGCAAGTTTTATAGTATTTATCTATCACAAAACCTTTCAGTTCAAGTTGCAACATTCTTTCTTGTATTCTTGGTTACATATTTCTGTCTGCTTTTCCTCCCTTTGGAGCCAAAACTTTTATTTATTCTCTATTGTTTTTTACAAAGGAAAAGTGGAACCTTACACACGTCATTTTTTTATGGTTGTAGAGGATAGCTATTGGATACATTACGGCTGCCTTTTGTGAAATATGGTGTTCACGAATATCAGGAAAGGATGCCGGAGATGGATTTTTGAAGAATTATTATCTACACGGGTAACCATACATGTTTTACATCCATTTGCTATTTTTATGTGTGCTCCTTCCTTCTCATCACCTAAACTAGAACTTGTTATGTATATGATCAATGAACTTACTTCTTTTGATGAAGCAATCACAAGTCCAACTCTTCATGTCAACCAAACCATCATAACATTAAGCTATTTGAAATTTACCATCTTATGACTTTAAGTCTGACATATAGCATCATGTTGGCCTAATGTGGAACAAACGGGTTGAGATCTGTTGAGGATAATTATTTGAATAAAATAAAATAAAATAATAAATATTAAAATTGCACTCCTCATTTAAGACAAAAAAGATCTGCGCTTTAGGCCCGAGCACTACACAATCCAAACAATTCACATTAATGAAAAACATATAGCCTTATTTATAGGACTAAAATAAAATCTTGGTAACAAAGAAAACCATAGCAATTAGATAATATCAAATATATAAATCCTAACAAACTAACAACTCCAAAAGCTAAATAACAACTTCATCATAACCAAATATATCAACTAAAGCATATCAAATCTTTAAAAATCCTAAATCTAATTTGTCTTGCCTCAAATCTCTCCCTCTTAAAGAAACTCGCCATCCACTTAAAAATTGGATAGCATTGATGGATTTTAAATTGTTGTGTTGTCGATTTTGAAGCTGAAATGCTAGATCTTTTCAGCTTGGATACCAATTGATAGGGAACGATAAATGGAGTTAATGTTAAAGAGACTTATGTGGACAACATCGATGGACCTTAAATTGTTGCGTTCCTGATATTGAAAATTAAAATGGTGGATCTTTTTGGTTCTGATACCAAATGATGGGGTATGATAAAATGGAGCTCCGTTGAAGAAACTTATTTAGATAAAAATTAAAATAAAAAAACACAAATGTTGAAATAGTACTTCTCATTTAATAAAAAAATGTAAATATTGGACTTTGCACCCGGGCACTTCACGTGCATAATACTAGTTGCAATTCACATGCATGGTTTCTCACATTCATTCTTCTCTCACCCCCCTAAAAAATACAACTATTTTATAGGAATAAAACAAAACCCTAATCCTAACTAAATAACTAATAAATAACATCAAAGAACACACCCTAACAAAATAACAACACAAATATCTGAATAACAACCTTCACCCGAATCAAACATCTCAATTAAAGAAAATCAAATCCATAAGAAATCCTAATTTCTAATCTGTCTTGCATCATGGCCCTAAGTCATCAAATAAAAATATTGAATAGTGCAAGATGCTCAAGTCATCGAATGCTATAACTGGTTAGGTGTTTGACTTCATCAACTTCTTCGGTAACAAAGCTATTATGTCATTGCTTAGAAGTCCTAAGACTGTGACTGGTTTTTCTAATTATAAAGGAGGAAGCAAGGAACACATTGGACGAAAAGCAAGAAAAACAAAGGGATGATAACTAAGAGAGATCATAGTTATTTTCATTATAACTGTTACAGAAGTTCAAATCCAGTGTTACTTGTGTAACTTTCCATAAGTTTACACTTAACCAATTCAGTGGGTTGATTAAATTTTGCTAGTTCAAATTTAGGGATACTTGATGTAAGGTAACAGAGTGTAATAAGTGAGTTATTAAAATTGGATTTAATGATAGATGAGAGATGAAAGAATAGGAATAGTTGTTTGAGGAACAAAAGAAGGGAATTGAAACTTCCACCTAGGGTAAGTCAAACGTAAATGTGAATTTTACAGCCTACACTTCATAACTACAAAGTGAGAGGATTAGCATAACACATTCAATTTCAATGGTTGAGAGATGGCATATCGACCCATGTAAACATTTTGACCATCCAATTTATCCAATCAATATTCTGGGCAACAAGAATTGATGCAAATGACTTGTGCAACTAACAAAGTAAAAAAATTGTGCCATTGACCCCACATCCATGACATGAACAAAAACTTGTTTGAATGATCATTGAACCTAAAATGCCCTATCTTCCTCACAAGTACTCATTGCCATGCCCGAATACTGTGCTATGCGCTGCATCGCATGTAAGGTATTTACCTTAAGAAAACCCAAAAGAAGGGTTACAATAATTCTACTGAAGCAATTTGATGCATCAAGAGTTTCCAATGTCACGCTAAATATTCCTCAGAATGAATGGGATTATATGTGAGAATTTTGTACACAACTAAGAAGACACTAGGACAATTCTTACTTCAACATGAGCTATAAAAATTCTTCCCTCAAAGGTACATGTTACCTCCAGACCTTCTGGTTATGAATAATGATTTCTTTGCATTGATGTTGCCCTTAGATCTCTAATACTGTTTAAAACATGAGAAAATTTTAATTTTGACCAAATGATGATCTTGTTTTTGTGTTTGTTTCAATGACTATATAGGATTGTCATATTTTCACTTTCTGCCGTATACTTGGGGCTGTTATATGGTTTGTATGTTCCAGATTGGCAATTCAATGTGCAGCAGACATCTTCAAGTTCTTCGCTTGATGGTTATGTTCTTAAAACAGTGAGATCAATAGTTTTAAATTTTTTTTTACACTCAAATTATGTCATTATACTTTTATATCTTCTGTTAAATACAGTCGATAATTACTTTCATGCTACAGTAAAGTCATTTTCTTTTATTTTTCTCATAAAATATCTAGCGCCTAGACAAATATTACTTTTTCCATCATCATTCTGTACATGTTTTAGTATTTAACTGGATCTAAGGCTGCAGCTCCATACAAGCATTTTCTATCCTATTGAATGAGGAAATACCGAGTGGTTAAGACCTCTAGCGAGGTTGACACGAGGGGCCCTTTTCTTCTTATTTGTTTATTTTGGTAATGAAAGTGATTATTTATAGAGATGAAACTGTCTTCTTTACTCCATTACTTCTGTTGGTTTAGACTTGTTAGTGGCTGTTTAATCATAAATATGTTGGCCTTTACTGGGGCTTTCATGCTTATTGCCGAAGCAGAGTGTCAGGATTCAGGAATCCTTGTGTGGGCCAGCAAGCTGTAAATCAACATATTTTTCCATTTATTTTTCCATTTGTGTGTTTCAAGAACAGAAAAGGACTAACCAGATCCGAATAGCATCTTATTAAGCTTTGCACTAAACTAAAGATGAAAAAATTGAAACAGTTCTTTTTCCTTGTTGTAATTGCTTAACCTTTTGCAATTTAGCTCAAATATGGGAAGGAATTTGACTTTTTAGCTTTGATAGAGGGGTTTAGAAACTTTATTGCTGACCGAAGAAAACATTGATAGAAATGGTTCTTAGCTTTTGGCGATATATTTTGTTTCAGAAGGTCAAACAATGTTTTCCCCTCCTGTAATTGCTTGTCCTTTTGCACTTCAGCATAAAATAGGATGGAACTTGAGATAAGCTTTAAGGTTGTTAATAAGCTAGAAAAATGAATATGAATTTTGGTTTTCTTGTGATAACATGTTTTGTTTCAAAAATGTTTTTCTGTGTAAGATCCATAGCATATGATCACTTAGATATCTGAGATTAATCATGCATATTTTAAGATCAGTGATGGACATAGGATGATTTACTCTCTTTTCCAAAGTTAATTGAGTCATAGATTCCCTCCCTCTCCCTCATTTGCACTTTTTAATTTGTATTTGTAGTGTGATCTCTAGAGCTGATGAAAAAAATTTCTATTATTGCACATTCACAAACTTTTAGACTTTATATAATGTTCATATCTATGGTTTCAGGTGCAATGTGGCGTAAGAGGGGATCTTGGGCCAGCATGTAATTCAGCTGGCATGATTGATCGGTATGTACTTGGCATTGACCACCTATACAAAAAACCAGCGTATAGAAATCTAAAGGTATTTTAAACTAGAATTTCAAATTTATAGTTCCATTTTATATTATTTTGTTTATCTAGGCTGACGTTGGTATACATAATTAATAGGAATGTAGGATATCCAAGGATGGAGGGGTTCCAGATGACTCACCTTCATGGTGTCAAGCTCCTTTTGAGCCTGAAGGAATTTTAGGGTAAATTATCTCACGTCTTATATACTCACTTATATACTCAGATAAGAGGCTTTTAGTTTTAGCCTCTGTGCATCAAACTAGTTATTTCTATTTCCGTAACTTTGTGGATCTTTTCTTGAAAGTTTATATACCATGTGTGCTTCTCATTCTTATTTACTGATACGTAATGTGTTAAAAAATTTCTCTCTTTCTGTATTATTGTGCTTTGTACTAAAACTGTCTTGTACTATGGCATATTTTTTTCATACTAATTCAACATTACATAACAGCATGAAGAATGAGCATAGATCACACAGATCTAGTCATGTGGGAAATTATTCTTATAGATGGTTACAACACATCTATGTACCGTATGATAAAAAACGACAGTTGATATATGTATTTTTTTTGTCAATAGGGAACTATTTCTAGTAGCATTTCTTATGCTTAGTAACTAGATGTGGCGCCCGAGAACAAACACATTTTGCAGTAATATGACATTGCAAAAGATCAGTACAATGCAGTAAAATAAGGCCCTTCCTATTCTTGGGCCAAGAGAAAATATTTGCTCAAAGTAATCTTCAGTGGTGACACTGTCTGAACAAAATAATCACAGGCTCAAAGCTTCCTCAAAGATGTTTGTAAGGGAAGGATGTGAGCTGTTGACTCACAAAGCCATTTGAAAACTAAGAGAATATAACCGAATGGTGATAGTTAGTTCACTGCATGTCACATTAAATCACATTAACATGGGCTGCACAAGAAATGAAATATATTAGTAATGTTGGAAGGATCTGCATCAGAAAGACGATGCTTGAGAGAAAACTCCACAGTAGGAATGGCAGTGCATATACGTGCAGTGTGCACATATTCATGCTGCATGTTCCAGCATCTTTATCTGCAAGAAAATCATTGTAGCTTTTAAGGAAGCATGTTACTGTTTTTTTTCTGAAATAATTTGCTTTCATGCTGGAATCTTAAGATCTTTGTTTTCTTCTGAACTCTTATGTAGTTCCTTGATGGCTGCTGTAGCTTGCATTATTGGTCTTCAGTTTGGTCACGTTCTAGTTTATTTGGAGGTATGACTTGACTTCCCTGTTCATCTTTGTAATTCTGCTTAACAAATCACCATCTCCTGGTTTCATCAACAATCTTGCCAATTGATGAATAATCAAGTTAGATGATTAATTCCACTGAGTTGATAATCTAGCAGGAGCAGTATATTTAAGTTATGTTAGCAGATAAATATCATTGCTTAATATTTCAGTCAAGAGAGGTAATTGGTTTAGCTTCTAAAAGTTAACAATCATGCTACAAGTTAAGGTTAATACTAGTAAAAAGAGAAAGATGATAAGATGTTGAGAATATTGTATACTTGTTCCACAACAGAAATGAGGATCTAGTGGTTGAACTTGAATACGAGACAAAAATTAATAATTAAGTACTTCAAATGTAAAAGAAAACTTAATCATTAAGAGTAAGTATGCTAATCTTAACTAATCAGAGAACATCCTCGCAATTCTTTTATCTGGTCACTATTTTAAAAAGGCTCCGCCTAGTCCGCGTAAGCGTACGCCTAGGCCTAGGCGATACCCATGCCGCTTAACTAGCGCCTAGTGCCTGGGCAGTACCTAGGCTGCCCACCTAGATTTTGATAGTGTTTAGGGGAGTATTGTCTGCTAATGTGGACTACACCCTTTAGGTCTTGATCGTGATTTTCTGTGTTGCAGCCTCCATATCCTCTAACCTCCTTTAACCTTTAAATATGATCACATCCACTACCTCCTCCGGCCTTCAGCAAAACCTCCTCGACCATCACTTAAATTAAGAAAAAAAATCCACCTAAACACCAATCCGGCATCTAAGCTTTCTATAATATTGATATTTACAATCAAATATTGTAATTAAAAAATAAAAATAGAAAGCCTCCTAGGCTCGAGGTATCGGGTCCAAAGCCTAGGCATCCTAGAGCTTTTTATAAACTTGCTAGTTATTATTTTGGCTATTTAGTATTTAAGTATGCATGATTTATTGTGGATCTAAGATTGCTATCTTTTTTTGGGCAAATTTAAATGAGTTTAGTACATATTTTTATTAATTATTATAATTAAATAATTTAAAAAATAGCCAAACGCTTAGAGCTGCTTAGGCAAATACCCAGGCGTGTAGGCGCTAGGCGCTGACTCAAACGCCTAGTCCGCTTAGCGCCTTCTATAACATTGTCTCTGGTTATTTGTGGCTGTGACTATGCTGGTAGAGCCAAAAACCTATGGCTACCTTATAATTTCATATGCATGTTTTTCGAGTTTAGTTATTCCTGCTTAGGTGTGACAATCTGTCAGATTCAGATCAGGTCCTACAGCCAGAAGATCTACTTGCAGATCCGTTATAAATTTATAGTTACTCGAGGAGAATAACCACTAAGAGATCTAGAATTTAACCTGAAAATTCAGGTCACGTTGGGTTATCAAGTTATTGGGCTCCATTGCCACTGCTAATCCTACTGGTTCTTGCAGACTCTCTAGTTGTTGAGTATTGTTAAATTTCATGCTTCTAGAGTTTAGTATGCCAAAACTATTATTAGTATTATTTGATGGAAAGAGCAACAGTGGCTAGTCAATTTTGTCATTGGTTTAATCCAAACAATGTGTTTTATTAATTTTGTTAGCTACTTGACACTGTATCGTTGACATAATGGTACTTTATTTCTTCCTATACTAATTATGTAATTACTTGTCGGTAGTGATGCCCTTATAGAAGTTCTTTCTTCTTTCTTTTTCTCTTTCCTTTTCAGTTTTAGTGACCTAGTTTATTCCACATCTTAAAAAGGTCAATTTCTTTCATGTTAAGGTAAATGGCTTTAATGTAAATTAATTGTGTGCTGATATATTTCAGGGTCACAGAGATCGGCTTTTACATTGGTTGTCATATTCAGTTGCAATTTTATCACTTGGTTTATTCCTCATTTTTATAGGTGATGCTCAAGTTGGATATTTCTTTTTTAAATTGTTCTAGAGTTGAAATAGTATTTGTTTTATTACTCTCTTACAGCCGACAGCCTGACACCCAGATTTTTTTACAGGGATTCCCGTAAACAAACAATTGTATTCTATGTCTTACATGCTGCTAACAACAGGCTCAGCTGGATTAACTTTTTGTTTCTTGTACTTACTGGTGAGCTTAAAACCTTTCTTTGAAAGTAACTGTGCAGTTTGTCACCTTAGAGATTGTGTGTGTGATATGGTACTTTGATACTTTCTTATAATAAGATGATCAAGTAAAATTTACAATTAGATCCTTCAGGAATTTAATGTTTTTAATAAGTGTTGCATTAAGATCCTTCTAGCAGTACAGAGAGAATGATTTTATGCTTATATGTATGATACGGAAATTTCATGCTCATCCCTGTGTAGTCTGCTAACAAATAAACTTCAGTGCAACTGGCAATGTGCTATTTACTTAAGCTCCTAATTACTCATTAAAGTTCTTACTAACGTTATATTATAAATTTCTCAAATATTTGGGTTTTTGTTATATTAGACCCCAAAGT